GCTCAACTCTGTATAGCGGCTCCACACAAATATTCTTATACAAAATAATTAGGGCTTTGACTTTGATTCATAATTGAGGATTGATATATGTAGGTGTTAATTGGCATCCACTTATCATCTAGTGAACTGGCGCTTGTACGTTTACTGTCCCCGTTCTTAAAAATGTAATCTCGTGAAGAATTCTTTTATGTATCAAAAACAAACTTTATATTACTTAAATAATATCTTCTAAGTTCTAAGTCTAAGTGTGGCTTTGTAACTTATTCGTACCTACCATATTTATTTATAATGCTGTACATAATATTCATGAACTGCAAGGGTCACAGCTATCAGGTTGTTTGTCAAAGCCTTGCTTGTCAATGTGATGTGTAATAAAAATACAATTAACGCAAGTAAAGTCAAGTAAATGTACTATTTTATTGGAACAAAAAAAACTGAATAGGTATTCTTTCGTACCAAATGCGAGTTTATTGACCCTAAAAGTTTTATGTAGGTCTGCGCAGATTCGAGCGTAAAATTAAACTGTGTGCTCTGTTGCCAATAAACGCGAAAAAGGGAGGAAAAACAAACATTTAATAAGTATATCTACATCCTATACCTCCCACTCGCCTAACTGATCAAATGTTCAGCATGATATAACATGTTGAATTATATTAGTTAAATTAAATGAGTTAAATGCTTAAGACTGTGCTACGAAGACGATAAATTATTTTAATTATAAAATTATAACAAAAACATATATAATTATAAAAGTAATGGTGACAAATGTTACTATGGCTTATAACCACCTAGATTTATAATGTGTTCAATAACGAGGCATTGTCGCCTCAGAGGAGGAAAGTAATAAACCTCTTCCATGAACATTTTCCATCTGCTAAATCCTTCTGTATTTTATGGGAATGTGGCAATTGCTAGATACGATTTCATTAATTTTTAGGCCCTAGCAGAACATAAAATAAGCTAGTTAACTATCATCCCCCAACTCCCATGCATGCACTTTGACTTTCACGTAGTTTAAAAAATATCCTATTTCTTTCTCTACTATTATACCCATATATTTGATAGTAGAACTAGAACATGTCTAAGTTTTTTTTCTCAAATAAGTTATGAAAAAGTATTTCCCCTACTCCGTCTGGTTCATAGTAAAGAGCTGTGCGTAAGTGTTCACTGCCCTGATACAATTAACCGTCCCAAAGCATGCGCGTTACGCCAATGAGAACTTATTTAATTTTTTTAATATTAAATTAAACTGACCAAATATTTATATAAGCTGACCAATAATCAGCGAATGCTTCTCGATCGCGCACAGGTGGATTTTTTATTTTTTTCGTGAATGAGGTGCTAAAATTTCTCAATGACCTTGAAAAATTTTAACCTTAATAAAAAATAATCTTATGCTGACCAATTAATAAGACCGACTGACCTTTTATAACCAATTTCTCACCTTTTAGATGGTATAATTGGTCAATCAAAATTCCGCACATGAGGTGCTAACATCGCGGAGCTCAAGACACGGAGCCACCTGCATTCATCGACTTCCTGCATGTCTTACCAGGTCGTCACACCAATTATTAAGGGGACGCCCTACATTTCGTCCGCCGGTACGAGGCCACCACTCGAGAATCTTTTTTCCCCATCGGTTGTCGTTTCTTCGATCCATATAGCCGGATGTTAATGCCACTTTTTGGCAATGCCCCTTCAGCTAACTAATCAGTTGGGCTATGTCAGTCACTCTGGTTCTACGATGGATATCCTCGTTTCTAAGTTTATCACGCAGACAAAACTCCGAGCATAGCCCTAGAGAAACTCCATAGCCCACTGAGCGACCTTGAGCTACCTCATCCAGCCAGCAGTGAAGAACCGAGACTCAGTTCCATAGGTCATTACTGGCAACACACATTGGTTGTACAGTCTCGTTTTCAAGTTTTGAGGTATACCTGACGAGAAGATGTGCCATAATTTCCCGAACGCTGCCCAGCTGAGTTAAATCCGTCGAATGACCTCTCGGCCAAAGTGAAACTTACCTAATGGGAATATTTGTCCCAGGTAAGCATACTCATCAACAACTTGGAGGTTAGCGCTCCCAACAACCACCGACATAGGTGTGACATGGACGTTGTTTTGTCCATGTTCATCTTAAGACCTATCCGTTGGAATGCACTATTAAGGTCATTGAGCATATGCTTAGGTTCTCCAGCGATTCTGCCATAAGGATTATATCGTAGGAAAATCGAAGGTGAGTGATGTTCTTGCCGTTGATGTTAATACTCTATCCTTTCCAGTCCAGAAGCCCGACAGACAGCATTTTCACTGTTTTATCAGTTTCGGGGATATTACGTCACCATGTCTTACGTGCAGTTAGATAGGCAGCGGTGAAGTTTCAGTGATATTAAGTCACTCTTACACCTCTCTGTCGTTTGATAGGTTTTATACTCTAGTTCTGTACTCGGATAGGCATCGTAGCCCTACTACCCAGACACTTCAGCACTTATATATACCGACATTCAACTTAACACCGCTGAAGGGACCGCAGCAGCGCCCAAATTTCGACAGGATTAAAGGCTTTCTCATAGTTAACATATGCCAGACACAGTTACAACTTGTACTTCTCGGACTTCTGTACAATTTGCCGAAGAGTATGTATGTGATCTATGGTGCTAAAGCCTTTTCGGAAATCGGCTTGTTCGGGAGGCTGGAAGTCGTTGAGTCTACATGCGAGACGATTCGTAATGAGAATGTAGCATGTAAACGCGGCTGAGAAGGAAAATCGGTGTGTTCTTCAAGAGAGCGTTGTCATCTTTCTTGAAGAACAAGACCACCGCACTTCTGCTTTACACCTCCGGTTAAGTTCCACCATGGGAGACGGAATTAAAGAGCTTCTGCAGAACTTCAAGTAACGGTTTTGCACCCGCTTTCAGAAGTTTCGCTGTAATTCCATCTTCGCTTGGGGCCTTGCCGTTTTTAAGGTGCTGGAAATCCAATACAATCTTACTCAGGCTGACTTCCGGAATATCATCAGAATGGTGTCAGTCTCTTGGATCGCTACTCACACTTGCGTGTGGCTCCAACGATTACGTGTAGAGCTGCCTATAGAACCTCTCAATTTCACTCAAAATTTCAATTTCACACTCAGTTATCAGCTTCAACAGTTGTCTTTCTTGTAGACAGGTGTCTAGCAAATACTTTGGAGCTTTGGTTCCGCTCGATCGCTTCTTCAATATGAGCAGTATTAAAGTTGCGTAAGTCCCGCCGTATGCATTTGGAGATTTGTTTGTTCAGTTGTCTGTGTGAAGTCAAATCTAATGAAGACTGCAGCTTCATTTCCTGTCTAACAGCCATGAGATTAAGAGTGTGATCGGAGAGTTTTTGAGCTCTTTTGCGGCGGGTCTTACAAAACTTAGCTCCGACCGCATAGAGTTTTAACGAACTTGTCATTCATATCGTCCACTGTATTGCAATCTCTTAGGCACTGAAAACGGTTTCGTAGCTCGATCTGAAATGTTTCGGGACACAGAACTAGAGCACGAGGCGGATGGAGCATTGACTTCATTAGACGTGACCTCTCCAACTTAAGGTTTACGTTCAGTGTACTTCTCACCATTCGGTTATGGCTGCCGGTTTTCATCCGCGCAATCACTAATACATCACTAAACAGTTATCGTCTGGTCCCCATAACGAATATAATCTCATTTTTTGTCGAACCGTTCCAAATTTTCCCACCTTCAGCTCACCGTTCTCTCTTGTGCCAAGTTTTGCATTGAAGTCCCCCATTAACACCGTATAGTGGGTTTTGTAGGGATGCATTGTTCTAGATATATCCCATACATATCCTCCACCTCCTCTTCGGGATTTGCCGAGGTTGGAGCGTAAACCTGTGGGACCTTCAGCGAATACCACACGCTCTCAATCTTTACAGTATTGTTAACGACACATAACATAGTTACGTTTTACATAATTTTTTCTATTTCACATTTTTTATACCACATATATGGAAAATTTACAAAACTTTGTCCTTATATTACATATTATGTAATATAAAAAGCAAAGTTTTGTAAATATTCCATAATTTAAATAAATAATTTATGTCTATTATATCTGTGGAGTGGCGCCATATGCTGAAAGACAGGTTTTGGCCTAGTTCGGCAATGGGTGCTTGTTAAAGACATGAAAATAGTTTGAAGGAAATAAGTCAAATAAAATTGTAGACTTATTTTAGGTATTATTTATTAATTTCGTCTGTTCTTGTGAGCAAAGTTTTGTTAAATAATTATTTCTGGTTTGTTCTTTTTTACATTTAATATCTTTCACTAGATGGTGTCACTTGTAACATTACATCACGGTATGGTTTGCTTCATAGAGCATTATATAGCTTACAATTTTAAAATACAGTCAATCGTTATGCGCCACACGTCAAGAAGTTTTATTTATCAATCACGGGATTACGGTGTTGGGAAAGTTCTAGGCATTGAACATTGGTCCTTCGAGTTCGGATACTTAAGGCTGAGGTTGATCTGTGCTACATCATTTTTACAACTACGAGACACGGCGTCGGGATGTCGTAGAGGGATACATCTTCCATTTACAAAATTGGAAGACAACGCTGTTAGCGACGGAACACGAACATCCACGAGGTGATCTTCGGAGTGTGAAAAGAAACCTACTGCGACGTCACACCTTGCAGCAGGCGTAAGAAAAGGACAACAAAGAGTAGTATATGGTGTCTTTTAGATACATTGAAGAAATAATTGTAAGTACATTGCTGCGTTATTAACATAGTGCAATTATTGGATAAATTCGGACTTAGAAAAATTTCATGTTAAATTGCTAGAATTTTCTAAGTGTAGTGGACTTAGAATAGATTAAGAAAAATTGAACACACGGGGAACCTATGCCCAATTTCAAAAAAAATACAAACACTTAAAAAATTTTCGAAGCAAATAACATTGACTTAGAAAAATTTTATTGAAAAAAATTATAACCTACAAAATTTGAATTGAAACATGGAATTCATAAAGCTTCAGACAGAAATTATAAATCAATTGAATAAAGCTAAAATAAATTATAAGAAAAGTCCTAAAGAACGATTAACAGCTCGTAATATTGAAACCAGAATAAAATTAGCGGAAGAAAAATGGACTGAATTTTCAAGCAATCATTCTGCAATTATTAAAAGCAAGCAAGACGTATCAGCGTCAGACTACATTAAAAATGATCATTTTCAAGAAACAGAAATGTTTTATATTGATTTTATTGCGGAAATGAAAGAAAAATTTGACCAACTTTTGGAACAACCAAGAATTGTATATGATAAGCATATAATGTCATCTTCTAATGTAAAATTGCCTAAGATTTCGATTCCAACCTTTTCAGGACAATATTCCGAATGGATGAGTTTCAGGGATTTATTTGTATCACTCATTCATAAGAGTTCTATGGAAGATGTACAGAAGCTTCATTACTTGAAAGGATATTTGACAGGTGAAGCTGAAAAGTTATTGCGTCACATTCCTATTACAAATGAAAATTACGAACAGTGTTGGAAAATTTTACAAGATAGATATGACAATAAACAGTTTTTGGCAAATTGTATTTTGAAAAAATTTTTTAGTCAAAGGAACGTTACAACAGAGTCTGCAACTGCTATAAAAGAATTACTTGATAATACGACTGATACCTTAAACGGGCTTAAAAGCATTGGTATTAATACGGATTCTTGGGACTTAATTATAATTTATATTGTTTGTTCTAAGCTGGATCAAGAAACTCACAAACAATGGGAGTCGAGAGTAAGTGAAACTGTCTCTAGGTCAAAGGAACTACCATCTTTTTCTCAATTTAAAGAGTTTTTGGAAAATAAATACCATTCTTTGGAGTTTCTAGATTCAAAAGGTACAATAAAAAAGTTATCTAATCACAGCAATGTATGTAACATAAAAAATTCTAATGCACTTGTAAACCTTCATATCAATCCATCACCTTGTGTATATTGTAATGGTGATCATAGGATCAGTAATTGTAAAAGATTTTCAGGTTTACAATGTTTTGATAAACGTAACTTTGTCCAACAAAACAAGTTATGCTTCAATTGTTTAGGTAATAATCATTCAGTAAAACAGTGCCGTATAACCACCTCATGCCAAATATGTCGTAGACGACATCATTCACTTTTGCATCCCAAAAATGTAATCTCAATAAATGGCAATAATGATTCAGATGTATCTAGAGGGAAGGAGTCGGTAAAAACAGGACAGCCCACTAGAACAGCCTTACAACCAGAAACTTTAGAGGAATCTCATCAAAATATTGCAAGTCATTTCTTAAAGGAGCCTATTCATCATGTTTTACTAGCTACAGCTTTAGTGAACGTGAAATATAGGAATGACTATCAAACAATGCGAGCATTGATAGATCAAGGCTCGCAGGCCAGCTTTATCACAGAGTCGGCGGTACAGTTACTCGGGTTAAAAAAGACTAAGACAAATGTTATGGTTTCAGGTTTAGGAGCAGAAAAAAGTTTGGTCTCAAAATCTACAGTAGATTTGACAATTCATTCAAGGTACGATACAAATTCATGTCTACATGTGACAGCATATGTTTTAGAGAAGTTGACATCATACTTACCTTCTACTAATGTTGATCTCTTGCATTGGCCAGAGCTGAAACAACTCAACTTGGCAGACCCAAGTTTCCACAAACCTAATAAAATTGACATTTTATTAGGGGCAGAAGTTTATGCACTTATCATTATGGAAGGACTACTTAAATATCCCTCAGGATCTACAGTAGCTCAAAATACATCTTTGGGGTGGATATTAAGTGGACAGTTGCATTCTAATACACCTTACTGTAACGTAGTGAGTTTACATGGTGAAGTTCATCTCGATAGTTTAATTCGCTCATTTTGGGAATTGGAAGCCGAACCAAATTTATCTAAGACAATTTTAACGGAAGAGGAACAAAATTGTGAACAATTATATGAATCGACTACGGTAAGGGATAATGATGGCAGATATATAGTTCGACTTCCGTTTCGAAATGAACATCCATTATGTTTAGAAGGAAAATCAAAACAAATTGCGCTTCGTAGGTTTGCTTCTCTGGAAAAAAGGTTACAGAAGAATTCTGATATGAATGTAGAGTTTAAGAAAATTTTTGACGAATATTTGCACTTAAATCACATGGAGATAGTACCAAAAGAAGAATTAGATTTACCAGCTATTTACTTACCATATCATGCTGTTATAAAAGAAGATAGGGAGACAACTAAAGTGCGTATAGTTTTTGATGCCTCATGTAAAGGCGTAAATGGAAAATCTTTAAATGATGATTTGATGGTTGGCCCTAAACTTCAATCGAATTTACGCCATATTATCATGAGATGGAGAACTCATCCAGTTTGTTTTATTGCAGATGTTGTCAAAATGTACCGACAGGTTAAGGTAAATCAAAGGGATACTGATTTTCAACGCATTTTGTGGCGTGAGAATAGCGAGCAAGAGTTAAAAGAATACAGATTACTAAGATTGACATTTGGTACCTCTTCAGCTCCATACTTAGCAATCAAAAGTTTGATTCAGTTGGCTATTGATGAAGGACAAAATATACCTTTAGCAGCTGAAATAGTCAAAAGAGATTTTTATGTAGATGACTTAATGTCTGGATGTCAAAACGAGAAGGAAGCTACAAAATTATATTATCAGATTAATAAATTACTCAACAAAGGTGGATTTGAATTGCAAAAATGGTCAAGCAACAACGATACATTTTTGAATACTATACGGAATGAGAAGAAGGAAAATAGTGATCACAAAATTTTGGAACTAAAAGAAGACCCTGTAAATAAAATTTTGGGACTTACCTGGAATCGAAAAAACGATGAGTTTGAATATGCAGTCAGACTTCCACCGTTATCATTTCCAGTTACTAAAAGAAAGGTCATATCTGATATTTCACGTTTGTATGATCCATTAGGATGGATACAACCAAGTATAGTCAGCGCAAAGGTTTTTATTCAAAAGATGTGGTTAGAAAAATTAGATTGGGATGAAGAATTACCTCCACATTTTTTGAATTATTGGCTTACATATAGAGATGAATTATCCAAACTTACCGAGTTCAGGTTACCTCGTTGGATGAAATGTGAAAACAACAATGAGCTTGTTGAGCTACATGGATTTTCAGATGCGTCTTCATTAGCATATAGTGCAGTTGTCTACCTGCGAGTTATTGATAGTGATGGACAAGTCCATGTAAATCTGGTGACTGGCAAATCTAAGGTAGCTCCTAATAGTCAATTATCTATACCTAGACTTGAATTATGTGGAGCTCTTTTACTAACTAAATTACTTATAGAAGTTTCTGAAGTTCTGGGAATTTCTAAAAACCACTTGAAGGCATGGACTGATTCAGAAATAGTATTGGCGTGGTTAAGCTCTCATCCAAGTAGGTGGAAAACATATATCGGTAACAGAGTGGCGGAAATATTACAATATTTAGATCGTACTCACTGGTTTCATGTACAGTCAGAAGACAATTCCGCTGATTGCGCATCTCGTGGCATTGCTCCATCTGAAATCGCTTATCATCGACTTTGGTTAGAAGGTGCATCCTGGTTACGTAATAAGAAAATTGATTATCCTTTTTCTAAATTTGTGAATACAAACATAGAAGAAAGAATTGTAAAAATACACAGTGCAGCAGTAAATACTGTCGATGATCAGGATGCCATGTGGTATAAATTTTCTTCATTGATGAAACTGCTAAGAGTGGTTGCCTATTGTCGAAGATTCCTGAAAAAGAAAAAAGATATTAGTGCATATTTGAAAACAGAAGAAATAAAAGAAGCATTACATATAATGATAAAGAAAGCACAAATAAAAGAATTTAATGAGGAAATAGAAACATTAAAAAAGGGTAATTTTATACAAAAGAAAAGTAAACTTATCTCATTTAATCCATTCTTAGACGACAAAGGCATACTTCGCATTGGTGGACGGATTTATCATGCTACAGTCAACAGAGATACAAAACATCCAGCATTGATTCCTCACGATTCTTATTTAGCTGGGGTGCTCGTCCGTGAGGCTCATATTAGAACACTACACGGTGGACCTCAAGTAATGATCAATTACCTGAGATCTAAATATTGGATACTTAGAGATAAATCGCTTGTAAAAAATCATTTTCGAAAATGCGTTACTTGTATACGTTTTTCCGCTCAAAACCAAACTCAGCTGATGGGCCAGTTACCTCCGTCAAGAGTAAGGCCAAGCAGAGCCTTCTCATGTAGTGGTGTGGATTATGCGGGGCCGATCAACATAAGGGTTTCAAAAGGCCGAAGCAATCGATCATATAAAGGCTATATATGTTTATTCATTTGTATGGCTACTCGAGCAATTCATCTAGAGGTTGTAAGCGACATGAGCTCTGAAAGTTTTCTAGCAGCATTTAGGCGATTCACTGCACGACGAGGTCACTGCATGGAATTATTTAGTGACAATGGCACTAATTTCGTTGGTGCAGCTCGGGAACTCAAGCAACTTTTTAATGAAGAAAAGTCAAGAAACAGTAAAATTGGAGAATGGTTAGAATCACACGATACAAAGTGGCATTTTAACCCACCACAAGCTCCTAACTTCGGAGGTTTATGGGAAGCTGGCATAAAATCAACCAAATATCATTTAGAAAGAGTAATTGGAAACTCTACATTAACTTATGAGGAGATGTCAACACTCTTAACGCAAATTGAGGCTTGCCTAAATTCTAGGCCTATGACATCTATAACAGACGATAAAGGTGAATATTTTGCTTTAACTCCAAGTCATTTTCTTGTAGGCGAACCATTAATTCCGGCACCAGATCATCAATATGACACTTCTATTAATCTGTTACGACGATGGCACCTTTGCCAGCGCATGATACAGGATTTTTGGAAACAGTGGTCTCAAGAATACTTGACCCATTTTATGCACAGGTACAAATGGGCGCATTCAAATCCTGAACCAAAAATTGGAGACGTTGTTTTAGTGAGGGAAACAGACTTGCCTCCTGCTAGGTGGTTATTAGGGCGTATAGTGAAAAAACATCCAGGTGTGGACAAAGTTACGCGTGTTGTAAGTTTACGTTTTAAAAACTCGATCATAAAACGGCCTGTGTCAAAATTAATTGTATTACCAATTTGTGAAGATAAGTGATATTTTATTTAGTTCATATTTTATCTTCATTTGCTATTTTACACATTATTACTCAGTGTGAAATGATCGTTTTTTATTATTTTAATTAGTTGAATGTTGTTATTTACCTTGTTTTACACTTCAAACTAAAAGGGTAAAGGACAGTTGTCCTTGGTGGGCGGAATGTTAAAGACATGAAAATAGTTTGAAGGAAATAAGTCAAATAAAATTGTAGACTTATTTTAGGTATTATTTATTAATTTCGTCTGTTCTTGTGAGCAAAGTTTTGTTAAATAATTATTTCTGGTTTGTTCTTTTTTACATTTAATATCTTTCACTAGATGGTGTCACTTGTAACATTACATCACGGTATGGTTTGCTTCATAGAGCATTATATAGCTTACAATTTTAAAATACAGTCAATCGTTATGCGCCACACGTCAAGAAGTTTTATTTATCAATCACGGGATTACGGTGTTGGGAAAGTTCTAGGCATTGAACAGTGCTATTTTTCGAGAGACTTGTGGACGATAAAACCGACACCTTCTTGGGACAGATGGTCGCCCTCCCGGTGATAAAACAAGTTGCCGGAGTCGAGGATTATCATGTCCTCCTCCTCAGATAATTCCATAATATTCCAGCGCAACTTGTCTATCTCTACTTCCACCTCCAGGATCTTCTAGTCAGTCCTCAAGGAGCGTTATATGTTGCCAGATCGAGTCTTCTTAGGTGGCAACCGAACCTCCAACGGAGATTATTAGCACCCCCTGCCCCGCCGTCACCATGATCGCTACGGTAGCTAGAAATAGCGGGGCCATCGGGGACTGGGGGCCGTCTCTTCGTAACTTTAATCATGGGGGATATATTGTCATAGTTACCACGCTTTACGAGCGTGTTGGCAACCGTAGTTTTTTTTAAATACAATCAGTTAATTCTTTCACACATACTTCACACGCACCAAGGAGCACCCACACCCACTAAGCATATATTGTTAAAAAGTAAAATAAATGTGTCAATATAAAAGCCGTAAAAGCCTATTGAAACGGCTCTGGAAGGTAGACGTCAAAATTACGACATATTTTGTCTTAACTAATTTGTAATACGAGTATGTTTATATTTGTAATAATCACCTACATGTATATTTTTGTAGTCTGTTTAATGTTTCAAGTAAAATATTTCATTTCATTTCGTCCCGAGGGTGTCGTAAGAGGCGACATTGAGAAATATGGTAAATGAAAATTACTATGCCTTGAAAAAGTGACGGTATTCCATTTCGTTTTCACCTGATGTAAAAGACCCAGATTGGCGACGGGCTACAGCGTCAGAGGTGCCGAGACGCCTGGTATTGCCTTGTAGTCTCGCACATCGACAGCGTGACATTAAAGGTAAATCCTCACTGCAGCAAAAACGGCCTACGTCCAGCAGTTGGTGATGTAGAAGATGAAGAAGAGATGAATGATATAAAAAAGTTAGTAAAATTACAACTTATATATGTCTTACTGTTGGGCACAGGCCTCCTCTCATTTCTGAGAAGGTTTTAGGGTAAGGAAGTGTCCGCCGCGCTGCCCCAATGCGTATTTGCGAACATCACATCCTTTTTAAATATTTTTTTCTTATTTCGCAAACGTACAGTTTTCCTCACGATGTGTTCCTTTACCACCCAACACGTGGTATATCAAGACTTAAAAATGCAATTAACAATTTCATTGGTGCCGATAGGGATTAAACCTGGGTTGCTCGTTTACTGAGAAATTGATTACAAATAGCGTGCAAACCAACAAAAAGTACAATAAGAAATAAAAATGATTTAGGTTTCGCACCATTTAACTGCTGCTCCCTTAAATAATATTTCATGATCTACTTTAAGAAGTATGTAAATAGGCTAACGTTGTGAAACTTTTCAACGTATTCTAATGCAAATAGCAAACTTCTCAATCGTACAATGTCTAATGTAACCTTAAAATTCATCGTACGTCCTCAATCCATTCCCGGATTTTAAATATTATAACCCAAAAACCCTTTAAATGCTTGCCCTTGTCATAGTAAAGTATTTCTGTACTCGTAGATACGTTTTCCTTTGTCACAATTTATAGCCAAAAAGAGAATTATGTTTTAAACGAAATGGAAACATGAGGAAAAAAAATAAAAGAGTATAATGTATATTTATTTTTTATTTTGGGATCATCGTCATTACAGTCTTTCACAAGTCCACAGCTGAACATACTCCCAAGGAATGCCACAAAGCACGGCCCTGGGCCACCTGCATCCATCGACTTCCTACATGTCTTACCAGGTCGTCACTCCATCTAGTTGTCCATCACCCTACACTTCGCCTACCGCTATGAGGCTGTCACTCGAGAACCTTTCTTCCCCATCGCTTGTCGGTTCTTCGAGCTATATGGCCGGCCCACTGCCACTTTAGCCTACTAATCCGTTGGGCTATGTCGGTTACTCTGGTTCTACTGCGGATATCCTCATTTTTAAGTTTATCACGCAGAGAAACCCCGAGCATAGCCCTCTCCATAGCTCGCTGAGCGACCTTGAGCTTCCTCATATGACCAGCAGTGAAGGACCACGTCTCAGATCCGTAAGTTATCACTGGAAACAAGCACTGGTTGTACAGTCTCGTTTTCAAGTTTTGAGTTATACCTGACTGAGGCTGCCCAGCCGAGTTGAATCCGTCGATTGACCTCTTGGTCAAAGTTGGACACTTACCAAATCGGACTATGTGTCCCAGGTAAACATACTCATCAACAACTTCGAGCTTAGTGCTCCCAACAACTACCGATCTCATGATCTTCGTGTTGTCTATGTTCATCTTAAGACCTATCCGTTGGGAGGCACTATTGAGGTCATTGAGCATAGTACTTAGGTACTCCAGCGATTCTGCCATAAGGACTATATCGTCGGCAAATCGAAGGTGAGTGATGTACTTTCCATCGATATTAATACCGCATCCTTTCCAGTCCAGCAGCTTGAAAACGTCTTCCAATGCATGGGTAAAGAGTTTCGGGGATATAACGTCACCCTGTCTTACACCTCTCTGCAGTTGGATAGATTTCGTACTCTGATTCTGTACTAGGATAGCCATCGTAGCTCTACTGTACAAACACTTCAGCACTTCGATATAGCGGCAGTCAATTTGGCACCGCTGAAGGGACTGCAGCACCGCCCAAATTTCGACCGAATCAAAGGCTTTCTCATAGTCCACATACGCAAGGCATAGTGGCAGATTATACTCCTCTGTCTTCTGTACAATTTGTCGAAGGGTGTGTATGTGGTATATGGTACTAAAGCCTTTTCGGAAACCAGCTTGTTTGGGAGGCTGGAAGTCGTCAAGTCTGCGTGCGAGACGATTCGTAATGATTCTCGAAAATAGCACGTAGACGCGGCTCAGAAAGGAAATCGGTCTGTAGTTCTTTAAGAGAGCATTGTCGCCTTTCTTGAAGAACAAGACCACCGTCAAAACTACTTGTCACATTTTTTTTAATCAAAATTTCTTTACCAACGGTTTTATGTCACTACCTGCAAGATGGAAAAAAGTTATCGAACAAAATGGCACATTATATTATAATTAAATGTAATTTAACTATGAAGAAAAATTTCTTGACTTTGTATATAAAATACGATTAAACTTTTTATCCAACCTCATATACAATTTTATAATATACTAAAACTTTAATTTAAAAAAAAACGAATGATCTAATTCACTGGCAAAACACCAGAAAACTACTTGTCACATTTTTTTTAATCAAAATTTCTTTACCAACGGTTTTATGTCACTACCTGCAAGATGGCAAAAAGTTATCGAACAAAATGGCACATTATATTATAATTAAATGTAATTTTACTATGAAGAAAAATTTCTTGACTTTGTATATAAAATACGATTAAACTTTTTATCCGACCTTATATACAATTTGATAATATACTAAAACTTTAATTTAAAAAAAAACGAATTACTTAATTATCATACAGTCCTACTCACCGTGGTATCGTGCCAAGAACTCTGGCTGCTTTTCTCACTGAATAGCTATACTTAGCCTTTGAGCGAGAAAAGAACCAGCCCTCTTATCACCAGCAGCAATGGCCAGTCACGGATAGATTTCCTTTAGGAACTTCACCACATGTGGACCCCACGGACCAATAGTTTCTACAGCAAATGGCACAAATATGAGTCTCTGAGGTGACTAGATTCCTTAGCCGAAACAGCTAGATAGTGTACCTGATCTTGTTGTTGGAAATTATGAATATTTTCACACTCTGTACCATCGGAATATCCCACTGTTTTTGTTGGTTAACTTCAAGTGGAACATTTTCGTCGGATCAAAGCGTTGGCCATGTCTGTCCTGCCTCCGTAGCAAAGCACAGATCTAGTTTATTATTTAAAGTTTATTATTTACGTAATTCACTGACACTATGCACGGAAGCACGGCAAGCAGGCAATGTAACACCTGAAAGATTTCTCACATCAATACCATCAAATTTTCTAGTTAAAGTAGTTTAATTCCAGGTTGTATTTAAAGTTAAATTAAACATATTTTCTAAAGCTATTTTAAGATTATTATCAATATCTTTTAAAATATCCGAACATTTCCCGACTCGACTGGAGCGGAGTAAGTATGTAAATCTAGGTACAAAGAGACAATATTTTAAAATAGTAAGAACAATTTGGGGCTTCAAGTTATACAATTTATAATCGAGGTTTAAAAACTTATTAAATTTTGTTTTTAAAACAGGTTTAATACTATCGAAAAACAACAGTTGTTATTCCCGGAGAAGTGTGACTGAAATTTTGAATTAACGTGTCTCTGTAAGAACTAGATAAATTATTGGAATAAATATTTCACATTTATTGCTATTTGGTTTACGAACAATATTTTTAAATTTTCGATAAATAAAAATAAGATCACTGAGGACGTCATCTGCTCTACCTCCCAGTGTACCATCTTCTAGGTTCCAGACAATCAGCTTGGATTTCAAACTTAGGTTGAATTCCCGAACTGAAAAGTGCTGAACCT